GGGATGGGAGCGGGGGTGGCGGGGTTAGGGCAGGGGCGGGGGTCAGGTAGCCCTGCGGCGGGGGTCCGGGGCTGAAACCCCTACCCCGGCTTGGGCCCCGGGGATCCCCACGTGACAACCCTGGTCTCTGTCTCTGAAAAAAGGGAGGCCGTTAAAACACCCCCAAAGATAGAGACCATCGTCGCTAAGTACCCCGATTTGTTTAAGGAGCCTACAGGAGGCGTAGACAGGGAGGTTGTCCATGCCATAGAGATCATCCCAGGTAGCAAGACACCTAAGGGAAGAATCTATAGGATGGCTCCGGCCAAGTTGGACGAGCTTCGGCGACAATTGAAAGAGCTCACAGAGAAGGGACGCCATCACCGTTAAGAACGCATAGCCTCTACCACGCATCGACGACCTATTGGATAGGGTGCAAGGGTGTAAGTACTATACCAAGATAGATTTAAAATCCGACTACCATCAGATTGCCATAACACTAGAGGGCAAGCACAAGACCGCATTTCCGACCAGGTACGATATGTACGAGTTTGTGGTGATGCCCTTTGGCCTTTGCAATGCGCCGAGTACACTCCAGCACGCCATGAATAGGATTTTCCATGACTACTTAGATAAGTTCGTTGTCGTGTACCTCGACGACATACTTATCTTTAGTAGAACTGTCGAGGAGCATGCTCAGCATGTAGACAAAGTACTTTCACTCCTCCGACAACACAAGTATAAGATAAACGCAGAGAAATGCAAGTTCAGTCACACTCGAATCTTGTACTTGGGTCATGAAGCATCCGCAGATGGGATTAGGCCCGAAGATGCAAAGGTGGCTAGCATACGTGACTGGCCACGACCCCAGTCTGTGACTGAGGTAAGATCATTGTTGGGAATTGGAATGTGTGGTTATTACCGCAATTTCGTAAAGAATTATAGCACGATCACATCTCCCTTGACTGATCTAACTCGACTTGACACACCATGGGGCTGGACCGACGAGTGTGAGGCAGCTTTCAAGCGTTTGAAGCATGCTCTCACACACCATGAAGTTCTCATGGTGCCTGACCCGCAGAGGTCATTCGTTGTTACCACTGACGCAAGCCAATACGGAATTGGCACAGTGCTGGCTCAACAGGAAGGGAAAAAGTTGAGACCGGTCGAGTCCAGGATGGCGAAGTCCACCTACGAAACGAAACTCTACGCTCTCTACAAGACACTTGTCCACTGGAGGCACTATATATTAGGAAGGTTCTTCTATTTGAGAACTGACCATCAGACCCTCAAGTGGATCAAGACCCAACCAGTTCTCTCTGACGCACTCAAACGCTGGATTGAAGTCGTAGATCAGTATGACTTCAAACTAGACTATGTGAAGGGAGAGTACAACAAGGTTGTGGACGCGTTGTCGAAAAGGGCACACTACCTAGGTGCGCTGATTTATGATGTTTGGCTTATCTGAAAATGTGACTCGATCTACGGGGGAAGCCTTCAAGGAAGATCCCATCACGATGGACATAATCAACAAACTGCAGGCCAAAGACAAGGCCACCTCTGACGAGTTTGTGACGGTGGATGGGTTACTCTTTCTTGAAAAGGCTGGGTTTAAAAGGTTAGTTGTTCCATCTAGGGAGATTTTGTGTAGTATATTTTTAGGAGAGTGTCACGACGCAACGGGACATTTCGGCTACAAGAAGATTAGTGCTAACTTAGTACAACGATTCTGATGGCCTAACATGCTAGACGATGCAAAGAAGTACATATAGACCTGTCACGTCTGTCAACGGGACAAGCCGTGGACTCAAGCTCTGCTTGGGTTACTCAAGCCTCTACCCATTCCTGCTGGCCCAGGACAAAGTATCTCCATGGATACTCTCGTGACCAGCAAGAATGGCAAGAGGCACATCTTCGTCATAGTTGATAGGTTCACTAAGTATGCTAGACTAATTGCCATGCCGGACACTGCCAGGACTTAACATGTCATCAAGTTATTCATGGATAACTGGGTGCGTGACTTTGGACTGCCAAAGACAATCGTTAGTGATAGAGACGTGCGTTTCACAAGTGAGATGTGAAAGAAGGCCGCTCAACAGATGGGCAGCCAAGTTCAGATGACTTTTGGGAATCATCCCCGAAGCAAATGGGCAGGCTGAACAGATGAACCGTGTGGTGCAGCATCTGCTGAGGCATTACATCAAGCCCAGCCGTGATGACTCGGATGAGAAATTACCTCTTATCGCCAGCCTGTACAACAATGTTGTACACAGCACCACCGATGTCAGTCCTAATCAGCTTCATCTGCGATGGAAGCCTAGATCTGCTCTGGACTTCCTCCTGCCTGAAAACTGAACATGCCGCAACTCCTGGAACCATTGAATTTGGTGTCCAGTATGAGAAATTGTTGCAGGAGACTGTCGAACATATCAAGAAATCTCAGGAAGCTATGATTGCTTCTGAGAACAAACGTCGGCGACAGTCCACATTTCAGGTAGGGGACGTGTCAGGGTCAAGGCTAGTGAGTTGGGACAGGAGTTTGGCATCTCTAGGAAACTAATGCCTCAGTATTTTGGTCCCTGGGAAGTCTTGGACATTGTGGGGAATGATTTGGATGGTCCCTCGTACGTCATTCGTATCCCTGGCCACCTACGCACTTACCCTGTTTTTCACGCCTCCAAGCTTGCACCTTTCGCTGAGACAGCACAATTCCCATCACGGAGATCTATGCTGCCCCCAACCATGGATGGCCACGTGGACGTCGACGACATCCTGGATCACAGAGACACGCCTGTTCCCAAGCCACCTGGCAGGGGAAGACCTCCTAAACCTGCAAGGGAATACAGAGTACATTTCAGGCATCATACTGATCCTAAGGAAGATCGATGGATTTCAAGGGAGGAACTTGTCAAGACAGCTCCTCATATCATGGCAGATTATGAGAAGAAACTGAAGGGGAAGGCACCAGCATGAAGCATCTTAGTGGACTTTCGAAGCTAAGGGGGATGGAATGTGGGAACAAGCCCTCAAGAAGCCCTATCAGACATCACATGTTTTGGGCTAAGGCCCCCAGCAAGCCAAGTGCCCGCCCTAAGTGAAGGCGGGCTTGAATATTCGTCAGAGGCCAAAATTCAATATTTCCATATGTGGGTATTCAGGCTCTCACAACACGGAAGTTGGTTGGGTAAACGCGTGAGCCTCACTAAGTTGTGCCATACAGTTGACCCAGGCCTTGACAGTTGCGCTTGGGCACAAGCACGCCGTAGGCCTTTGGAAAAGCAGTACTGCCTACGCACCTGCCTGGGAGCCCTCCACAGACGCAGCAAACAGCCCAAGTCCGAAGACTCAAGCCGTGCCCAACTGGAAAGGGCCCAAACCCTCAATGGTAGTCTCGGGCCTGGGTGCAGGATCTGAGGCCCAACTGGAAGCTACTGGAAAAGCTTCCACAGGCCACACGCAACATCCAGGAGGCTGCCACTTCCAAAAAGGAAGTGAGGCAGCAGGCCAAGCATTCTGGCCAGTACAGACAATGCGGAAGTGTTGCTGCGCTCTCGCTTGATGCTGCGCTGCTGCCAAAGGCGCTGACGGGGCGCATAGTGGTGAGGTGGGCTGCAGGGCAGCGGGGCGCAGGCAGCCATAGCCGGGCTGCTGGGCGCCAAGGGGCACAACTGGCAATCTGGTGGTCTTCAAGGAATGAGGCGCAGTGTGGGGTAATCAAGGTCTGATTGAGGGTGACGAGATACATACTTGGAGCAAGAAGAGAGAAGGATTCACTATATTCGCTATGCGGACGACTTCCTGATTTGAGTCATCGGACCTAGAGCACTAGCCGATAGAATACGAAGTCTAGTGGCACGATTTCTCGAAGTAAGGCTTAGCTTTCGGCCCTTCTTTTCAAAGACGCTCATAACTCGTCAAGCTAAAGGCTCCCACGGGCCGACTTTTCTCAGGTTTCTTACCAGCTCCTCCAGGCTCTCCCACTTCGTGACCTTCGAATATCGACGAACATACAAAGGAAAAAGTCGAATTGTACGAGTTCAACGAGCAGGTCACGTCACTTTACTCGTTGATATGCGGAAAGTGATTCACTGCCTGACAACTTTAGGTTTTTGTGACAAATCGGGGAACCCTAAACCCAACTTCTTTTATTTCCAAGATCCGCAGAGAAACTCAGTATCACGTATCTTCGGACTTCTCCGCGGTTGACAGTCATGCACATTGGTCTTCGAGTGTCGAAGTGGGCCTGTTGTGTGAACACAATTGTAGGTAGGATAGTCAGGTAGAGTAGGTTGGGCGTTGGGCGCCAGTCAGAGAGTAGCGACTTTGGATTCTGTGTTGGTGTGGCCTACAAACTTGGACATTGACTCATTACTTCATTGTATTGCGCTATATGGATGGTTTTCTCAGTGCATTTGTACTATCTGCTTGGACACGACTACTTGGACATCTGTGTGATTTCGCAACTTGGTTTTCTGTACATCGATCACACTTATATTCCTTGTAATATTCCTTCCTGTTGTGTGCATCCGGCTTCGCGCAAGACCCTTCAATTGCGGTCTTCGCCGATCCCCGGTCTTAGGAATCTCTTATTTTGATTCGGAACAACAAAGATTATGCAATTATTAGTCATAAATTCTGGTGTGCCATGCATGTATCAATTTTGTCGAAATACTAGTTTTGAGAACTGTGACAAGATCATCAAAGAAAACACACAATCATCAAGCAAGGCCAAAGTAAGGGAGGCAGGGCCTAACTATCTCGAGCAATAACAAGGGTGAATGAGGGGAAAATGAGAACACGTATAATAATCTCAAGTACAGATGAATAGGCACGGCCAACACTAGTCAAGAGTCCTGACTCTTCCCTCTAAAGTCTCATCATTGGTCTCTCATTTGGTTGTGCGTTTCTTGTGCCTCGCGCCATGCCTATGTACCTCCTAAGGTTGTGGCCTCTTGATGTAGAGCCACCTGAAGCCCACAAGTTCCGAACACTTCCACCCAAGGCCCATAACACGGAAGTCAACCATAGCACAAAATTCCTCCCATAGCATAGGGAGGTACGACCGAGAGAAAATCCCTCGCCTAAGATGTCGGAACTCAGATGGTTCGGTCACTGCCTCGTAGTTGGTTTCTGCAGAAGAGATATACCTTTTGGCCAGATCAACCGAGTCTCCCTAGCAGGAGCCGTCTGTGAGGAGGGGACTGCAGGCCTGGGGTAGTCAGCATAAAGCTTAGGTCCAAAGCTGCGGATCAGCTTAGTACCACCCTCGTCGAATCCTCTCTCCTTCTCCTCAAGGTAACTTGCGGCTGAGATCCAGACTAAGTCAAAGTGCTCGTGGGCTTCCTTACCCTTTTTCACATAGAGTCTCAGGTCATGAATGGTACCACCTGCGAATCTGGTGAGAACCGCAAAGACCGACAAATCTCCTCGACTGAAGCCAACGACACTAGCGTATTGATATCGAACAACATCCTTGAGGGCTATCTTGTTGAGACTGGCTATGACTGATTCACTGACAGGGAAAGACTGAACTGCACTCATGAACAAAGATGAATATTGAAGCTAGTCTCAACTTCTTTGGTGAGTCCACTGACTGACCGATGTCGTTCTCTGTATTCCTTTTTATGGGAGGACTATCTAATTGATACTGATCTCAATGTCAAATGGCATTGACTGAATAATGGCCGAGGCTTCCGGGTAACTCGAATGGCTGAACACTGCTGAAAACAAAATAGGTCACTGAATGCTAGTTGATTCTGACTGAAACTTTCTGATAGTTCAAATATCTGAGTGTTCTTGGAATAACAGATCACTAAATATTAATCACCTAATATCAGGAGGCTGAGAGAATTACGAATCGTTGAAAGACTCTTGCTGATTGAGATGCTAGTGGGATTCAGGAGAAGAACCTGGACACCTTTGCGCTCACCTGACCTTTGCCCTGGCCTGCACCACCGTCTCTAGAAGTGAGCCAGTGTTGTGCAGCTTGCTGTTATAATCATAAAAATAAAATACGTATTCAATGTACTTTTCCTCCCTGACCATCCGGACCGCATGTTCCCTCTGAGCCTTTCTAAGTGAATCCATGTCCCTACAAGCCTCTTCTTCCCATCCCTCTTTCTTGTCTGTATTAGATTTGTACTTCATTACTAAGATCTCCTCTTCTCTCATGGTCCCTCTTTTTACTTCAAAGGTTCAGGTCCCAATAAGTGGGGGTCCGTGAGGAAAAGGGAGGGTAGTCCGAAGACTGATTATAGCAACCTTCAATGGTCCATCTTTCCCTTCTCCTTTTCACTCTACACGAGCAGAGGAATCATGAAGTGATGGGAAATGCTTACTGGTTGATTCGTCCACAAGACCTTTGGATAAAGGAGCGCAAAATAAAAAAAGGACACTCCTCTCTTTCAGCTCCCGAATGAAAACCCTGCACTGTCTATGTGTCTTCCTATCTGTATGCTCCCTCTCGTTTCATCGCACAAGTCGATCATAGAGTGTTTCCCTTCTCTTCCCCTCTGCAAACCCAATCATGGTGACTTTTGGATGAGACCAGGAGGTGGGCAAGAAACCTTCATCGATCTAACGTTTTAGAACCTTCTCGTATGCTTCTAGTCTCAGGATAGTAGACCAGTGATTGGTGCTCTTTGCATCAGTCGGTCACTGAGTAGTCAGCAAACATGGAGTAGTAGAGTCGCTAACACCAACTGTCAGCAAAACATGCAACAGGGTTTCTCAACGAGCCTTTTGCTCCAAACAAACCAACATAGCGTAGGGGCTGCGCTTGAAGCAAGGGGTGTGCAAGATCGTGCCTTACGCTACACCCACCAGATTGCAACACTGATGGTGATGAATGCCGTTATCAGGTGTGGAGAAGATATTCTTGAGAATCTGATGAGATCAGTGCTATATCCCTTTATGCCGAGTGTCTCCGGTCAAACCGTTTTGTTTAGTCATCCGAGCATGATTCGATTACGCTGAATACATTCATCCGGAGTGCAAAATTCAGTTCGTGCTCCTCGTATCATTGTTGGACCCGTTTCTAATCTCTCCTATCATAATAGTTTTGGGCGCATGGCATGTTCACACTCGGTTAAATAGGTTAGATTGTGAGGCTGGCTTATACTCGACATCATAGCCTCTGATCGCGAGTTTATCCATGCTCAAGACCGCGAGCACAGTGGGAGCGCACGCCTTAGTCATGGCATCTCTACACATTGAATTTGGTCTATGCCTAGAACAAACAAGACTCCAAGCGTCAGCCACGTTTATACTCAGCACAAGGAGGTTATCAGACATAGCTGGAGTTCATACATAGCATGGGTGGGTTAACAATGGTTATTCCAGTTCACGCCTGCAGCAGGACTACGCCCAACACACCCTTCGTTCGTATACAACACAAGGCACTACCGACACAACTCCTGTTGGCTCTCAAAGGCAAGAGTTCAGTCAGTCCCTTCTTAACCCATATCCCACAATTTGTAGGTCGAACAAGACAAAACCCTTCTTTCTTTAATCACCGTCAAAAAGGAACTTAGCAAGGAGGTAGGCAATTCTTCTCAATATTACTTCCCTCTTCCCCATCAACCACGTAAGGTGGGAACACCGACGAGTTTTGTTTCCTTTGAAATCATAGACCTACCGAGCCAAGTCGTTAATAGGTAGGGTCTCATCTGTTCGGATCACAGGTAGCGAAAGTTATCGTTTGACTGGGCCAGGGTTTTTCCATCACTGCTTTATGCCCGTCAAATGGTGCATGGTCATTGCCAAGAACTTTCGTAATTAGCACGTACCTTAGTCCTCCATTTAAATCGGCACTTCTCTTACGTTGTCACTTATCTCTTACACATACTGAACGCATGAAGTAGCCAATGTCACTCCACGATCACCGCCAATGACGTCATTATTATAGCAAATGCGCGTCTGTAACTCGCGCCTAGTACAGTTACCTGTTCTCACCATCTCAACCAATAGCTACTACAAAGCTAGCTCATGCTTTACTATATCAAGAATGAGGGTAAAGGCTTATCCCACATCCGCACTGGAGACGCCACCAGAAGAAACTCGCTTATTCTTGCTCTCGAGAGAAACAGGATCTCGATGCCACCGTCCAATGTGCAACCGATGGATTCTCGTTTCCCGGTGTGCCACTATCACCCCGTTGTAACTCGCTAACCAGAATCATGCACAAGAGTAGTTGTCGTCAACAAAAACCGAGGAGCACGTCCCCTTTTTCCCATCCCCCACGAGAGACTGACAACTCTTCCCTTTCGCTGGCCCCTCTCCGAGCGTAAGATGGTTAGTGCAACGCCATGCTAATCCCTTACAGGGTATTCAGAATGTGCCCGCCTCTCTCCCTCTTCACATGTAACCTCGTCTCTTCTTGCATGGCCTCTCCCCGCACAGATCATGCAAGGGTCATCCGAAGTGCGCACACAGACCCTCTTTCCACTTACTCATTCGAGAAGGGCGTATCGGTGGTCACGAATCAACACAAACTGATGCTTGCCCCAATCACGATGAAGGCAAGAAGTGAGCCACGTCTGAGAGCATGGCGAGAACCGAGTATGGCACTGACGGTCGCGATCACCAAGCGACCTTCACTGTGGAGGCGACCAGTTGACTTCTGCAGGTACTCTCTCTCACTCTCTCTCCTGATCGCGCTTAACCGCGTTCTTGTAGCTGCTTATCTCTTCCAAAGACCCGTCGACACGCATTGACCTGTGAGCCTCTCCCTTCTCTCATCCTTGAACGTAATTGTCACTCGTGTCCAGAAGTCGACTGACCTCGTCCTTGGAGAGAGTGTACACGAGTTCGTGGGTCAGACAACACCAACGATCTGAGGCGGCCGAGGACGTAGTCGTTAGCTGACATCACCATGGAGCCAGCACGTCACTCGCTCTTCTTCGCTAGTCTTTCTCTGAGCGCGAAACGATCAATGCAACGTCACGCCAACTACCTACTGGTTACTCAAAATGCACCCCTTCTTCGGTATGACCTGCGAAGACTGACGTCAACCACAATGCCTCTCTCTCTCTCTCTCTCTCTCTCTCTCTCTCTCTCTCTCTCTCTCTCTCTCTTGCTCTTCTCCTTGCGAGTTGAACCATGCTTTTTGCAGCCCAACGGGCCTAGTCCTTTCGTCGCCTCGAGTTGGCCTCTGGACCACTCTCAACAGGCTCGGTCGACGGGTGGTCCTTCCGCCAATGGTCCGGCCCATGCCAAGACTGAGTCTCCGCATTCAAGTCACTGGCTTCGCTCTCGGCCTCAATGTCCCGGTCCAAGTGCTGTTGCTCCCGTCCGGCCCTGTCTGGTGAGGTCTCTCCCTCTAGTTATGAGACAGTCACCTTCACCTCATCCGTGACCCCATCTCTCCTGCACCTCTTGGCCCTGTCTTTGGCTTCCGTGATGGCCGCCTATAACCCCTGGTCCGCTCCCATCTCCTCTTTCTTTCCCCCTTCCACATTTATTTTCAGCCTGGCCTCCTGATTGCAGTGGCTTTAGTCCAAAATGGCCGTCACCACAGGCCCATCTCCTGACATCTGCTCCCACCTCCAGAGGAACTGGAGGTACCTTGGCCTATAGCCATACAGCCCACTGCTGCGCACCATGGTCGAGCCCTTTTTGAATGGACGGTATACACTACCAGGCCACCGACTCCGAAATAGCCCGGACTTAACACTCGACACATGAGCGCACAGACGGACTGCCACACGCTCACCACGTCGCTCAAACCTCTCCTCAGTTCGCCAATACCTGGTGTAGCGAGGCTGCTCATGCCCAAGTAGCGAAAGGCCAGCCTCCCTCCCCTCTTATAGGACTGCCGCATACCACGGCCCCTGCGCTCTGAATGAGGGATTCAAACACCCTTTCAGATTCTGCAAATTAGAAATTGCTTCTCAAACATTAGCATGGCAAATTAAAAAAAAAAAAAAAAAAAAAAGGAAGAGAAGAAAACGAGAGGCCAAACCTCAACGGTCGACCTTTGGCCTGAAGCGACCTGCAGGCTCGACGCGATAGTCCCATAACAGGATCCGATGGCCACTAGCCTTCTTTCAAAAGGGACCTACGAACTACCCCTGATGGGTACCCGTGTCCGATGGCAAGGAGGGGAATCATGACCTCCTGCAAGGTGATGAGCCTCCTATACTTTGCTTCTTACCGGTCAAGTTCACGATGACTGAACCGGGAAGGTCGGGCAAACTAGGCCACCCATAAGCTATTGCCGATTTCGAAAACAGACCGTTCGTCCCCCACGGAACGATAGAGGGGAACAAAGCGCAGAGGACAACTAATAACAATGATAATGACAATGATAATAATAATAATAATAATAATAATAATAATAATAATAATGAATAATAATCATACTAGTTAGAGAAAATAGAGGGGAAAAAGGAAGAAGGCATAACGACAATGCAGTTTGGGACCACTAGTACGCTCCAAACAAACATGGCGAACTAAATCGCGGCACATGTCCGACGTGCGACTCTTCCCATTTTTCCGTTTCCTTTTTTTTTTCATCTTCTTTTGCTCCTCCTTACTTTGATCGTGACCATAACCCTCCTGCACTCATCCCATAACTCGGCTAGAGGGTACTTGGCGCGCAGTAGAAAAGACCGTGCCGGTCCCTCTACTCCGCGTCCCTGGGCGAGCCCGACGGCTACCACGGCCTCAGGCCGGTTGTGCTCTGCTGTACTGTTACATGCCCGGTTGGGTGATGTACATATAAACCGAGGATCCACAATGTGATAAAAAGGATTGAATGGACAATGCTGTGCAAGTGGAATCTCAACTAACAATGTGCATTCTGAAACATACAAAATGGTGTTGAATAGCGCAGGGAAGATTTAGATACAAGACCTGACCTGACCAAGACTGACCTTTATCACGTAGTACAAGATAGCGAAACAAAATGCTAGAATACTTATGACTAGCCCAATCAATGTTTCATCGTAGACCAAACATACATCTTGCTCATCACACAATGTGAAGGAGCCTGGCGTTGTACACAGGAAGGGAAGCGCCAGGTCCAAACATACACAGACGAAGAGGAGAGGGAAAGATGGGGATGTCGTCAACACCAAGTCTTTGTCACGAGTCCCAAATAATCCCTCGTTGCAATGTCTGAAGTCCAAAAGTCGAGTCTGGATCCAATGTCACCAAGCTCTCTCTCTCTTCTCTTGTAGTCTGCAGTGAAGTCAAATGAGGAGAGGGTGAGAGGGAGATGGTGGACTGAGAAGAGGAAGGAGAACTCTCTCTCTATCACGAGCCAGGTACTAACCTATGAAGTTGGCGCTGTGCTGCAGGTACCTTGAAGACAAGCTGGAGCAACGGCGCTGCAGTTAAGTACCTCTGGCCTCCGCCCAATATCTCTCTCTCTCTAGTATTATCCTAGCTATGGCGCCCAACGCTGGAGACTACAACTACCTACTGCGCCCAGCGCTGAAGACTAAGGCTAACGATACTACTACCACTCCTGCAGCGCTCCCTCCAGAATGCTGCGGCCGAATCCTGAAGACTACTGCCTCCTGCCTTAACTGCACGTGAAGTGTCTGGCCAGTCCTTATGAACTACCTGCCTGCCTGTAGGGCGGGCCAGTCTTATATAGTACTGGCCCGTCCAGAAGGCTGCCCTTGCCAATGCCCAAACGTGCTAGACCCTCAGGAAACTTCCGAAAGTTTCTAGGTAGCTTCTGGCTAAAGCCTGAGGAAGCTTCTGGGAAGTTTCCAGGTAGCTTCTACCTAAAGCCTGAGGGCCTAGAGGCCCTTGTTTTCAGGTTGTCAAGCTAAAACAACACGGGGCCTGTAAGCCCTAGTTTTCAGGCTGTCAGGCTGAAACAGACACGGGGCCTGTAGGCCCTGGTTTTCAGGCTGTCAGGCTGAAATAGACACGGGGCCTGTAGGCCCTGGTTTCAGGCTGTCAAGCTGAAACAGACACGGGGCCTGTAGGCCCTGGTTTTCAAGCTTTCAGGCTGAAACTGACACGGGGCCCGTAAGCCTTCGTTTTCAGGCTTTCAGGCTGAAAATGACACGGGCCTGAAAATGGCCCGTACAGCCTGTTGCAGGCGCAGCATTTAACACACCCCCCACCTTATGAAGTCAAGCTGGGCCGGGGGCGAAGCTGACGGTCTGAAGGTGGAACAGGAAGGCGGGTGCGGCGTGGAGCTGAAGATGCCGACTTGCCTTGCATCTTGCGTTCGTAGCGTGCGAGAACGTCTGGAGCTGTCGTTTGCAGTTCCGCACGGTTCAACCAACGGTCAACTCTGTGGCTGCAGTATGCAAAGTGGACCAGATACTCAGTCGGCCTGTTGCCGTAGCGGCGCTGGGAAATGAGATCGCTGACCTCTTGAAAACCGTCCATAGAGGGTGGGTCTTGCGATCGTCGAGTAGCCTTTGATAAAACGTTGGTAGTAGCCGGAGAGGCCAAGGAATGAACGGACATCTGTGACGTTCCGAGGCTCCGACCACTCTTGGATGGCTTGAATCTTGTCCGATAGCGGACTGATGCCCTCCGGTGTGACAAAATGGCCCAAGTATTCCAGCTCTTGCCGGACAAATTCGCACTTGTCGCGGTTGGCCTTGTATTTGGCACGGCGGAGCGTCTCCAACACTCGTCGAAGATGCCCAAGATGATCCTCCAATGTCCGGCTATAGACGAGAATATCGTCTAAGTAGACCAGCACGGACCGGTCCAACATTGCACGAAACTCGTTGGTCATTGCCGCTTGAAAGGTCGTCGGGCCGTTGGTGAGGCCAAAAGGTATGACCACCCACTCAAAATGCCCGTACCGCGTCTTGAACGGGGACTTGTAGCGATTGTTCGGCTGGATCGAGATTTGATGATATCCCGATTTCAAATCCAACTTAGAAAAATAGTTTGCGCCGCCCAATCGCTCAAGAAGATCGTCGATGCGAGGAAGAGGCCTCGCATTCTTGACGGTTTGCGCGTTGAGCTTGCGGTAGTTGATRCACAATCGTAGATCCTTGTTCTTCTTCCGGACGAAGAGAACTGGTGCTCCATATGGGGAGCTACTAGGGCGGATCCAGCCCTTGGCCAACAAGTCGTCGAGTTGTGCGCGGAGGACCTCAAGCTCCTCCTCGCTCATCCAATAGATGCAACCTTTCGGCGGCACGGCACCAACCTCAAGAATGATCTCGTGAGAGATCGGCCGATCCGGCACCACCCCGGTAGGTGACTCGAAGATGTCGGCGAACTCGTCCAGCAACCGCACCACCGGCGGGTCCGAAGACAAGTCCGTGGGKGAAGAGTCGGCTACCGCGACGGTCCGTAGGAAACATAGGCCGATTTCCTCGGGCTGCTCGTAAGCGCAAGTCGCCCGAAATGATTTGGCTGTAACCACTTGGCACCGAATCGAAGGGTGCGGTAGAGGAATAGTACACGCCACTTCCGCGCCGAAGGCGTCGCGAACGCTAAGAGTCCGCCGGTGGAAGTTGACTGTGTGATCCGCACTTGCAAGCCAAGGCATTCCTTGAAAGATGTCAAAGTTCTTGTCGAGAATATCCAACGTCACCGGTTCGCATGCACGAGGTGCGAAATAAACCGGTACGGCCTCGATGTATCGGTCGAGAAGTTGCTGCGTTTTCCCATCCGCCAACTTGATCGCCGTCGGGTTTGCCTTCTCCGAACTTGTGCGCCAAGGCCAGCCCTTTGCATAAAGGATTGGCTCATGAAATTGCGAGACGCGCTGCTATCCAGCAAAGCGCTGCAAGACGCTTGCCCAACCTGGATGCGGACATACATGAGCGGTGCGTTGTTGTCATCGTACCGCTGCGTGCGAAACTCATGGGCCACCTTGGCAACATACGCAAGGATGTCCCCCACCGCGACTTCGTCATCCGTCGGCGAAGTTGGTGGCGCATAGAAGGATAAGTGTGGAGATGAGCGCATAGTGCTGCACATTGCGGTCCCGGCAAGCGGCCCGTGGTCGGGAGAGGAAGCCATGCAAAGTCCTCAGGCGTGAGCGGGTCCAATACCTCTATGTTGAACTCGCGCGTCGATTCCCGTGAAGAACCACTTGAAGACGATATGTCGCCGCTGTTGGACGGAGCAGAAACCGCACACACGCCTTGTCCTTGAGCTTGAGTACCCACCGTAGGAACGAGTCGGGCAGCATAGTCCTCAAAAGAATAAGTAAGAGGCGGACTATCGACTTCCGCGTGCGCCTCGGAATGAAGGCCGGTCACTCGCGAAGAAACCGGTTCCGGAGGCGTCGAGAGTGTCGTCGCATCACTCTCGGCGGTGCTCAGTTTCCCTGTTTGCCCTTGCCTTTCAATGGGCAGGCCATGTCTCATGGAGATCGCTGTTGCACCAAAGGCAATAGTGGAATCTCGTGTGCGCTTTGAATGCTTGCTCGGAGATGCCATATTGGGACCATGGGGCTGCTGGAGCTGCTGCGCCAGGCCCGGGGCTAGATGTGGTGTGTGTCTTCGTCTTGCCGCCTCCTCGGCCTCTGCCGGGGCGGCCACCTTCCCGGGCGGCTGCGAGTCTGTCTCCTTCATTGGCAGACGCGGCCTCATTGGTTTGGTCAAACGACGTTGCTGCCGCGACCACGGCCACTATTGGCCGATGCTGGTCTCTGCTCGGGCCTGGCGCAGACGAATGCAGGTTCTTGGCCTCCTTGTTCATGACAATGACCTGCGCGGCCTTGTCAAAAAGTTTCGTCGTTGTCGTCAAGGTTTCCTCGACATGAGTCAGGACATTGCTTAATGTCGGACATGACCTTGAGATGAAGTAGTGGCGGATGGCTTTCAAGCCCATTTGGATGTCTGGGACTAACGTCAAGCGTTGGTACTTGGCGATCTAGTCGGTACTCGGCGGCGTGCCTTGCTCGAAGACCATGAGCTTGTCCATAGCCTTGATCTCGGGCGGCTTGACTTGGAACCGCTTGTGCCACGCTGCCTTCAGATCATCCCAGCTGATCTTGGTGTGCAAGTCCGTAGCTACCACTCTGTACTTGGACAATACATTGTCCAACCAAGCCTGGCACGCGCCCCCTAAGTATGGGTGGTGCTTGTGTTCTTTGACATTGTGTAGCTGTAGCGTGAGCTCGAACTTGCGGAACCATGGAACCGGATCTGTCTTCGTCGAGTCGCAGAAAATCTCCTGCCCGTCAAACTTTGGAGCTGTCTCACGCGGTTCCAAACTCGAGGTATTGGCGATGGTACAGATCCGTTGCTCCAGCTGTTGCATTGCGGTCTGCTGTAACTGCACGCCGTCCTTGAGGGAGCCGACGTCCATCTCCAATGCTGCGAGGCGATCTGAGGTGTTGGAAGAGCTTGCATCGCGGGCGGCGACAGGTCGCTGCTCCAGCCGCTGGAGGCGGCCTTCTACTTGAGCTAGCGAGTCATCGAGGCTGTGGATATCCTCCTGCTATGTAATACAGGTTGCCAGGAGGTCTGTGAGATGGGAGAGGAGGAGAGCGATCTTGTTTGTGCTATCCTCCAGCTTGCCATTCTCGGGCTCGGTCCGCCATTCCGCTGCCATTGTGAGCAAAGCATGCTCTCCGCTAAATATCTTCTCACGACGTTGGTTTCTTTCTTCATCGGCAGCCCTTGCTGCTGCCTCGTCATGTTGGCACTGTTGTTCAAGTGCCAGCAGACGTGCCTGCTCGGCGTCCGCTCCCTTCTTCTTCGCTGTTGTCGCTGTGTCATCTGCCCGTTTCTTTGTTTCGGTACTCCAAGCCAGCATTCGGGCGTGATTGGCCTCGTCTGCTTCTCCGGACCTCTGGTCCATGACGGCTGTTTGTAAACGCAACAGCATAGACCAGGCCGGGCCCTGCTGACGTGGTATTCCCTGCTGCTGACGTGGCACTGTTGACGTGTCCTGCTGACGTGGCCTGCTGACATGGTCTGCTGACGTGGCCTGCTGACGTGGCAACTCACCAATTCCGCCGCAGGGGGTACCCGGAGACACGTAGAGAAGGTTTAGGCGAGAGGTGACAACAACATAGGTGGGGAGAGGTAGGTGGGATAATCGCCCAGATAACGCCCAGATAAGGAGCCACTAATAAAAAAAAAAAAAAGTTTGAACTTTGCAAAAAAAAAATTGAGAAAAATAAAAATCCTGAGTTTTGCAAGTTCAGTAGGTCTCCCAACCTCCCTTGAAGTTCGAACTATCAATGAGAAAAAAAAATTCAAACTTCAGACTGCAAATGATTGATGCAACAAACTAACAAAATCCTTGAACTGCGAGAAAAAAAAAAATTTCCGAAAAGAAATTCGCAGTTTGGAAAATAATACTACAGGAGAGATTTCCCATACTGTTTTTAGAAAAACGAATTTTGAAAGAGAAAATATTCCGAATTTCTAAGTAACGGAAAATGCAACAAGAAATCAAAATTTTCGAAAAGAAGAATATTCCGGATTTTCAACAACGAAATTTTGAATTTTCAAAAGAAAAACGAAAATGGAAATTTCAGATGTTGCGCTATTGCGATTTTCCACAACAGAATAGCGAGCAAATAAAATCCAAAAAAAAAAATCGATTTTTGGCAGTAAGGTCAAAATCGTGATTTTGGGGGCTAACTAGTGTGTTCTAATCAATCAATAAAGACTAATCAGCTACCTAGTCCCCGCACACATGTAAGATCAGGTTGTCCTGATTCACGTGCGGTGCACCGATACCAACTGTTACATGCCCGGTTGGGCAATGTACATATAAACCGAGGATCTGCAATGTGATAAAAAGGACTAAATGGACAATGCTGTGCAAGTGGAATCTAAACTAGCAATGTGCATTCCCATACATACAAAATGGTGTCGAATAGCACAGGGAAGATTTAGATACAAGACCTGACCTGACCAAGACCGACCTTTA